ATCATTGCTCTTTGAATTGTGTTGACAATTTTTTTTCTAATACAGATTTGTAACATTAAAATAGATTTCATAGGGTTTTATCTTTGTTTTTCTACAACTGATCTTATGTCTGCCTCTTGTGAGGACATATTAAATTGAAAATAGTTTCAAAATTGTCACAGACTTAATGTATGAAATAGTGTTAAATTCAGGGGTAGATTTGAGTCTTGCTGTAAAATCAGCCACAGGCCCTGTTAAGGCATTTAACAGTAAAAGATGTTCACTGTTTGCCAAGTCCAGAGGTCATACTGAAATTAGGTTAGAAATAGTTTGTGTGGACAGGTTGCTTGGATAAGGATTTATGAAAGTAGGAGAATGTCAGAGAATGATTTTTAGAATAGTAAGGGTTATTATGTGGAAACCCACTTACAATCTGAAAGCTGTAAGATGCATTGCCCAATTATCAACAGTAAATTAAATCTTGTATTCAGAGGCAGAAAGAGTAAAATCAGACGTCTTAAGAAGGAAATTAAAAAGTTATCTATTAATTTTTTTAATGTTTAAATATGTATCTATATCCTACATTTGCATATATTTCTGTGGCAATACTATTTAAGATTGTCACATTCTGAAATAACCACAATTCTTGACGATTAAGTACAAGTGTCTTGAGACTTTCTGCAGCAGAGGTGAAAAACCTCTCACAGGGAGGCGTAAGCAGTGCAAGGCCAGTGCATCCTCTCTGTGTCCCACCAGCCCTGGAGGAGCAACAGGGATTGCACAATCCTTGCTGCAGAGCTGGGAGCCTTGCAGTTCAGTCAGCTCCATCTCCAGCCATAAAAAGGTTCCACTGCATAGAAAAAAAAGAAAGCAGCAAGTGTGAATACTCAGTAACTCTTAAGTTTCACTTTGTGTTTAAGATAATCAGTTTTCAGCCCGTACATAACATAGTACTCAGCCTCTTTAACTATTAAAAAAATCAGTCAGGTGAAATGGCTTTGTGTACTTTGACAAATAATTAAATGCCCAATGGATAGTTTTGCACTCATAATTAGCTGATTAATGGCACCATTTCCTCTGGGGACAAATAAAACCATGTTTGTCAAAATAAACAGCTATGCATGTGTGCAGACACACACATATGCATGCACAGAAAGGTAAGGCAATAGATGTTCAGTCTGTTTATTTCTTTCAAAGATGGAGTCTGATCAATACTGTGGTTTTGACCCTAAATCACTTACCAAATAATACAACTGATAACACCATGAGGTTTCTTTAAATACTAAAAATGTTGATTCAATATCTGTAGCCAATATACAGACATAATCAATTTGGGGAGAGGTTACTGTATTGACAATACTGCATTTGAGGGATTTGAGCACATGTAATGGATAGGTACTTTAAAAATTTATAGTCTTGAGGATTTAAAAAGAATACTTTGTCTTAGTATTAGAAAATTATTTCAATTGCACACCCATTTATGGCCAGTAATGTTAACTTCCCAAGAAGGATCATGAACTCTCCAAGTAATTGAAGTTTGCTCTTCTAGATATTCAGGTAATTTTAAAGTGTGGTTTGTTCTGAAAAGCTTTCATTCTCTGTAAAATAGTAACAATAGACTAATTTCCTTTCATTTAATTACTGATGTAAACATTTCTTAGCATAAGGTAGGAAGAACCTCTTTGCAGTTTAAACTTTGTCCTGATTAGGCTTTATGTTTAACATTTCTAATAATGACCTATTTTTTTTAATGGATTCTAAATTATATCTCTTCCCTAACTTTAACTTTCTGCAAACTAAGAGAAGAAAAAAAAATAGTAAAACATCCTCTGTCGATAAAAGAAAGAGATAACTTAATATGAAAACCAAACAAACTCTTGAATAAATTCAGTTCTCAAAGCACATTGAGTACTGTTACCAGAAGTATGATAACATAATATGAAAACCAAACAAACTCTTGAATAAATTCAGTTCTCAAAGCACATTGAGTACTGTTACCAGAAGTATTTCCTGTGAGGCATTTCAACTAATTATATACAAAATATTAGAATAGCCTTTCGTTTGATAATTTGTTAACAAGTTCTGTTGTTACTTAACAGAAATAACGATGAAGATATGCAATGGATAAAATCTAGAATTTGGTTCCTACAAAATAATCCCTCCCACCTCCCCGAACACCAAGGTCTAGTATCATATCTCTAATTTGTATTAACACTTCGTTTTGTTACCTATTCTGCTTTTGAGTCATGCTATCATAGAGGATAACTGAGAAGAGAAAATCTATGTAGAAAATAAGAGCATTTGAGAAAAAACTTACTGTATATAGAATTAATGTGCTTTCCATTGTTAGGCCATTTAGTTGTCATCTGGCACAGTGTCACCATGTGTTTTGCTTCACTGCCATACTATTTTTAACTTGCATATCTCTGGCAAACAGTTAGGATAAATTCTTTCTTTTATGAGCACTTTAGTGTTTAAATAAGCAGCTCTAAAATGAGCTTTCATTGCACCCATCCTAAGTGAAAAAAGTGAAAAAAAGTGTGGATATCTCTTGTATACTTTTGCTTTTGTATCTAAAGGTAAACTTTTGGTTTTTTAAGGTGAAAGAAAAATAAATGAAATATCCATGTTGTGCAACTTCTGCCTCCCGAGGCTTGATTCCTTCTAAAGGGAAGTGAAGAAAGTAGTCAGGCTAAAAATACTTAAAATAAAAAGGGCAGTTGAGGAAGAGAAAACTGTGAAATTATACACTCTTGTTAATGTCCAAATCCTGTTTTTTAGTGTTCTGTGAATGAGAATGTTACTGCAGCTAACATGTGTTTTTCCATTGCATATCAATGCTGATAATCAGGATGTGCTGGCCCTACTCTGAAATGTGCACTTTGACTTTGCTCTGTTCTTGTAGCTCCCTAATTTCCATGGAGTTACTTCTTCGTTGATCTTGTAATCTTCTCAAACTTATTTTCTCCATTTTGCTCTGATGAAAGCAAATACTTTGCTTGAGTACCAGTAGAACATCTTTCTGTGACTGGAAAAACTTTTTTTTTTTTCAGTTGTTATTTTTCATACATATATATATATATATATATATATATATATATATATATGTATAGGATTTTAAAACCCCCAACACTCTTCTACTGCTTACAGTCAGTAAACCAAATTCACAAGACATTTTTTCTTTTCAGCAGCAATCTTTTGTTTACATGTATTTAATATTCTTCTGTGCAACAGTGCAGATACAAGTATTTAAAATGGTAAAGCCTTCTCCCTGAGATAACCGGGTACACTGCAGCAATACATAGAATGATATACAAAGAACTGCACTGTGTCCTTTTTGAGGTTAATGCAGTTTAAACTAAATTAATTGAAAACGTCATGGATCCCTTGACAGTTTTCAGAACACATTTGGTTTCAAAATACTGATCTGTGATTTTTTTCTCAGGTGTTAATACTGAGAACTCTGAATCAGGGAACTTTAGCTAGAAGGAGTGTTTAAAGTAAAAAAAAAATGAAATTAAACTAGGGAAAAACTTTCAGGAGAGAAAGGATTTTGTGAGTACCTAGGGCCATACATTCATGTTGATTTAAAAGGGATCCCTATGGCCTCAGCTCACTTGGTAGTGCAGATTTGAATAGGAGTAGGTAGGAGTGCAGAAAAGCTCATACTATGGCATTTACATCTGCACGCTCTGTGGGCATGTGGGAGCCATTCCAGACTGTCTGGTGTTTTTCCTCTGCTTATCTGCATGGCACACTGAGGAGGCTTTTGGCAGCTGGTTCCTAGGCTCTCCTGTTTCTTAGCTCTGCCCTGCAAAAATAGCCCCAGATAAAGAAACACCACTGTCAGGACAGCATTGCCTTTCAGCCCCGTGATTTCCAGTGTACCCTTTAGAAACCTTTCTGGTTCTCAGCTGCAACCTGAGAGCAGCTGGGCTTTGGGAATGGAGCTGTGCAGCCACAGAATATCTCCCAGCTCTCCAAAAAGTGCAGAGCGGTAGGCAGGGAACAGAGCAGGCAGTGCAGCTGATGCATCTGACTGCCAGATGTCTCTCAGAAACACCCAGGCACCAGCACCAAGCAGTGTCTGGAGCCTGGGCACAAAACTGACTGAGTGCTGTAGTGTGGCCGTCAGTGAAGGGGCAGCTTCCAGATGAGAGAGTCGATGCCCACGCACATAAATCTGTGCTGGGCTCCCCCTGCAGCTGAGGAGGCAGGCAGGGACATTTCTGGCCATCAGAAAGGCTACTGCTGAATATCACCTGACAAGGTAATTCGGGAGGTGGCATTCACCAGCTCAAAAGCTCTTGCCCATCATCTTGGTGAGTGACAGGTACAGAGGGATCATCTCTGTGCTTTCTCACCCCAGATGTATCTGGGTTACGAACATGCTGCCTGTCATGTCTCTTCTTTTTAATTCTCAGTTCTTCACCAATCAGCACCCAGAAGAAAAAGAATCACTAACTCAAAACATAATAATTTACTCAGATTATAACTGGTCTAATTCAGGTGTCCTGGTGTTTTTTATAGATGCCCCAAGCTCTCGTGAAGGAATTCTTCTGAAGAGCTAGTCATCCTGACAGTCCAAAGCAATGTGACTTTAAAATCAGTCAATATTTATTTCACTTTCTATTTTCAAGATGTTAGTTAAGGTAATTCAGTAATTTTTTCTATGACTCTATAATAAAATAAAATTTTTATTTAATATTTATTCAGATTTCATGATGAGTAAAGAGATTTTTCAATACATAAGGATTTTTTAAAAAATCCAACATGTCCTACAGCTCTGAGACTGTAATTAGATTTTTCAAAAATCACAACTGATCAATTAATCATTGAAAATTCAAAGTGAGCTGAACAAAGAGTCTGTTTTGAATTGACCTTTTAGCTATTAAATATTAGAATGAGCTTGTTCCCTAAAGTCAAAATTATTGAAGTACTTTACATAAATATACAGATACTGATGTCAATGATTTTGGATAATTGTTAGAAAAAATAAGAAAAAACCTCAAACCACCTTATTGAGTTTTATGTATTTTTATTTACAGCTCTTTGGAAACAGAATATAGCAACAAAGGACCATAAGTGTATTTCCTTAAAAATATACTGCCACTTTGTAGTAGGCAAAAAATATTTAAAATAGACAGAGTGACGAGCATGCAGATATCAAGGTAGGTGGTTATTTTTAGGTAAAAATCCCACAGAAGAAGCATATAATATTGAAAAACACTGAAAACTACTCCCAAAAATATATTTTTTGCAATGTCATTTCAAGGGGAAGCAACTTAAAATACAAAAAAGAATTCATGCTTTTAACAGCTGGGATTTGACATTTTGTGTTACAACAACTTGTCTAGGATAAAAATTGTATATAGACAATAAATATTATTATGTAATGTAATTTTTAATTTAAAAACATATAAAAATCATATTTAAATTTATGCTTTTGCTTCTTAAGATGCCACATTGCAAGCGCTTGCTTCTCATGTGGGGGATAATTAATTCCATTAGAACCTAATTTTGCTGACTGGGCTGAAAAAAACTGCTTCCTGATATCACATCATATATGAAAACTCTTTCTCAGATATTTAAAATATGGTTCATTTAATGTGCACACAAGAGCACTAGGCTTTTTTTTTTCCAAAATGTAAAGATCTGCAAATAAGATGCAATTGCCTTAAAAACACATTGAGTCTGTAATAAAGAACATACACACGCCTGATCAAATGGAGGATGGGACACAAACTCAGACTCGGTTTTCATGGTGAAACAAGTCTAACATAGAATCTTTTACATGATATGATAAAATCATAAAACAAAAAGTTAAAAGTCCATACTCAGATAATGAAGAGCATTTGAATCAGAACTGTATTTGTAAAACATCTTCATAGGCTACTGTGTCTGACACAAAAGTTATTTCAGTATGTGGTCATACTCTGAAAATGTTTCTTATATTTTCTTAGATGATGATAGGGGACTATGGGGGTTTATTTTTATTTCCAGAAGGAAGTTTAGATGCTGGGCTTTCAGGTAGCTGAACTCCACATTGTAAATTCAGGTTTCTGGAAGACTGAGCATGGTTATGTTAGATATTCCATTGGGTAGGTAGAAATGTAAGTATAGGAAAAGAGGAAAGGAAGGGCCTTCATTTTCTATTCTTGGTCTCAGAAAATCTACTATTTTGTTGTGTTTGTCCTAGTGAGAATGGATAGTGAGCTCTTCACAAGCTCCTTGCTCTCTTGCCGTTGTGGAAAGGACATCTGACATGTGTCCAAGTGTCTACCTGAAACAGAGATGCTTTGAGTGCTTCAGCTCCCTAGGCCAGCTGAGTCATCACATGTGTGACTTACTACTTGGGAATTTTTCAGTTGGTATGCATTTTTTCATAGTTCCTTCCATGTGAAATCCCTCTCCATATTCTTTCAGAGTATCCCCACATGCTCTGCTGCATTTGGAGAAAAATCTGGATGAATTCTTTCCTTAGGGAATTTCTGCCAAATTCAGAGTTGTGTTTTGGCCAGTCTGAAAGTGGGAAAAAGAGAAGAGAGATCTTGAGAAAAACATGAAAAAGCTTGTGGGATTGACAAGGGGACAGAGAAACAACAGCAAGTTTTCTAGAACATGTTCTGGCACCAGCCTAGGCAACATCTTCATCAAACCTTGGAGTCCTTGGATGCATTTTTATCTGCAGTCTACATAGAGCAGATTGCTATTGTGTACAGTTCCAGTTTAAGTGAAAGTTGGAGAAAAAAGGTATGGTGGTAATCAAGGCATCTGTGGGGACCACCTAAAAACTTATTACATGCCAAATATTCCCATGTAAATGGGATGGAGGGCATTCATATCCTGAGGGAAAAAAAAAGACCTGCACATGCCAGTGAGTTACTAGATACCAGAAAAGAGGGGGTTTGCATCAGCAAGGAGAGGACTGGTTTTATTCAGTTCCTGTGTGGCTTTTCTGGTGCTTATAAGGACATCTGGGACTGATGTGGAAAGAGAAGAGAGGGTCATGAGGAAGTCACAATCCTTTGGGGATACTTCTGCAGAAAGCAGGTATTGTTGTCTGATGGATGCTACTAACACTGCAGAGATGGACTGATAAACACATCTGAGCCTCACATAGTTTGGTAGAGTAAGACCCAGCTACGGAAGAAAAAATTACCACTGATTTCACTGAAACAAATTTTCTCTTCATGCTCTAGGTTATGAACTCGTGGACATTCAGCAATCTCTTCACCACTCTCCCAAACACTCTAGGAGTGTTTATAGAATGGCATGGGTGGAGAGTCTGTTCACAGCAATTATCTCTGCTTCAGCAACTAGAACCACAATTCCTCACACTCACTCTAAGTGCTATAATTATCTCTCAATACTTGGTGACTAATTCAAAGCCAAGCTCTGTTAGAGGCTGCCCAAGTAATATTTTAAGGATATTTTTAGAATGCATGTTTTTTTGGTCAGAAACAAAATAAATGAGACTCTGGTAGTTCTTACTACCTAACTAATACACACCCTGGACACAAATGCAGCAGAATTTAATTCTATCTTAAGTCAATGAAAAAAAGCTGTATTCTGGCAATACAAGCTGCATTTTCTATTATCAGTAAGGGCACCTTGCATTTCAGTCATATATTAATCTGAAGAATTCAGAAGTATGTTGCTAATAGATCTCTACCAGAGCCTTTGTGAGAATAGATAATATGTCTGTTTCCTAAAGAGCTTAGATTAAGGCAAAAAGATAAAAAATGGGAAGAGAAATTAGAATTCTCTGACTCAATGACTAAATAATCCTTTTTTTCTGCATACTTTGCAGACAGTAGAGGTGTGAAATACTAGCCTAAAAGGTAGTTTTCCTTTCTAAATCAAACTAAAGGAAAAATAACATCTTGTAAGAAAAGCCTGCAGAATTTTTAGTGTACAAGACAGCATAGCAGGTCACAAATATACTTCCACAGTTTATAAAAGCATCAGTGTAACACTTTCCTGAGGCAGAGACAAGACCTTTATTTTCCCAGCATATATATATTTTTATATTTTCCCCAGAGGACATCTAGGAGTCTGATATCCCTCGGTGAATACAAAGGAGCCAGAGTTTTCTGAATGCAGACTGCAGGCATGCAGCCTTTAGCAGTTTACAATCCACTGAGAGCAAAATCATGAATCTCATATTCCTTGAGAGCACTTGCTCTGCTCAGACCCATATGCAGGCCTTCTGTGGTCAGAAGAAATTTATATCCAGATTTTGAAGCTCTGACAATAACCCATTTCAGGCTATAGAAATAGCTTTTTACATATCAGTTTTTTCTAGGTGCTTTGACATCATTTGATGGATTCACAGCTTCTGGGGCTGCTCTTTCAGGAGCAAGTAAAGTCATCTTGATTCAGTCTCTACTATAAAGGCTGGAGGGTAGAGCACAGTAAATGAAAAATAAACACAATTTTTTTCCTGTATTAAAAGATAATACAGAAAGATAACTTTAGAAAGATTATTCCACTTACAGCTGATAAACATAAAATGTTTCTTTTAAGACTCCAGTTTTACTGATCTTCCAGAATCGAAAAGAGAAAGGATAATATAAATACCCTGGTTCTTGTTCTCTTCTGCATGCACTCTCAGTCACTGCAAGGATTAGATAAGCATTTGCACTGACCCTATGCAATATTCCTTTTATTTCAATTTTCAGCTCTTGCATGAAAAGTCAAGAGAAACATAAAATAAGAACACTCACAATAAGAAAATGCAAAACTAATAAATTATTTCAAGAATAATGGTGTACAAAACCAGGGAAAATAATAAAAAAATCAAAAATAAAATTAGATTTATTTTTTAAATTTAAAATTATCGGTGTAATACCAAAGTGAGAGGCTAACAGAAAGTAAGTTTTCTTTCTTAATATCTTTAAGTAATTCTATAAAAGCATATATTATTGTGCAGAATTAAGGAGCTTAATTCTTATCATCATATTCTGAACATATTTAATTTTCTTTCTATAAAATTATGATCCCTGTCTGGATCATAGTTAATATGAAAGACTTTCTGTGAGTTACTTGTAGTGTTAGTCTTTAAATACTCTAAAATACTGGAGTGCTCAACCCAGTGACATATAGTTATTTATTTTACCTAGCATTTGTTTCACCTCTCTGTACTCTGGAGGGGCTTACAAAACAGGTAAAGGCTCTACCATGACACACTGTAATCTGGAATATGGATAATATGTTTATGTTTATATTTAATAGTTTATATCTCATCTCAACCTGCTGCTGCCAGTAGTATTGCATAGCTGCTTAGCTTGGATTTGCAGAGACCAGTCAGATATAGCCACATACTTATTCACACTGATAAAGAAAATTTGTATTGCAGTGTTATATATTTCATTATCACACGTTAATAGGTTTTCCCCCTTCTCTTTCCTTATCTTTTGGGAAAACATAGAAATTTAGTGGCTTGTAGTATAAACCTTAGCTTTTAAGCTTTCAAGCTGACTTCTATTCCATTGCCTGCAGTATTTGCAAATGTGCAAAATTATTCCATATAAATGGATGTATGGAACTATAGCAAGTATGATTCCATATAAACTAACTGCTGTATTAATTTAAGTCTGGTTCATTTTAAATGAGCAGCACAGTCAGATATGAAGCAAGCAAGCAAATAAGTAGTGACCTGAAGCTAGAGAGCTACCTGGTGAGACACCCGTGCTGTGTAGTTTAATACACATATCTGGAAAATTACAGCCTCATGCTTACAAGGTCACAAAAGAATTCAGCATATTAAGTTGTGTAAAATTTTAAGAAACAACTAATAGCACAAGTCTTTATACAAAGGAATCTGTTCATGGACAATGATCTCAGCTGGTATTCATCTGACATATTTGCAATTTCAAGCATTTTTGAATGATTAACCCCTCAGATACTGTTATACTCAGGAAGAGTGTAATTTACAACCCCAATTTGTCCAATATTCATTTTCTCAATAACTTCTAGACAGATTTTTGTAATTTCACAAGCACGAAAATTTTTCTTTCCAACTCATTTCTCTTCTTCACCTGTCAGATTTACAAACTCCATCTGGAATCTGAAAAAAGCAATCTGTTCATTCCTTCCACTCCCCTTTTAATGAGGACTCTGCAGACAGAGAGCTAAGCTGACAGTGTGGATGATGTAGAAGGAAAGCTGGAGACCAGCTCAGCTCGTTCTTCCATAACTGTATTGATACCATGGCACAGAAGTGGAAAAAAATCTCAGTCATTAATGGAAGTACATGTGACTCCACAGCCACAAGGGTGTAGATTAGAGTAACAGGACAATAACATTATTTGTTTTCCTGACCATAAGCTCTGCAGATTGGTTTATTGTTGTATCCCATTTTATCACATTCTCACGATGCCAACAAGTAATGAAACATGAATGAATTTATTTCTTTATCTGCATCAAGAAGAAAACATCTCTGTACATCTTCAAGAACAATACAAGAAACACCACTGTAGGAGACTACAATGTCTTTCTCCCTGGAGAAGGAGAGCCTTTTTCATTGCCCAAAGAGCACTGCTAGACTCAATATGATTATTGTGTTCTCCTGTGAGTAGAAATACACATTCAGTACCTAACTATGAAAAAACTACAACAACAACAACAAAAACAACAACAGCAACAAAAGATCTGATTTATGAAACCACAAAATAAATAGGAAATAAAAGATGTCTGTCATCCTAAATGACAAGCTCATACAGCTAGCCTTTTTTGGGAAAGTGCCAGTTACCTCCCACATACGTGACTGCAGTTCTAACATTAAAAAAACAGACATTCAAATCATGTAAATATAACCAACTTTCTGAGATACAACAAGTATTAAACAGTTTCACATTCATTCGTTTGAAAGCATATTGGAAAAATAAATCCAATCTGCACTGACATCTGTTATTTTACAGTTTTTCAGTTAATGTAATACAGCTAGAAAGTGGATTATTTTCCCTTTCTGAAAACTGTAAATATTCTTTTCTTTATAAGAGAAAACAAAATAATTTACTTGGGTGAGTTAAGAGGTATTCAGGGCCTGCTCTCTTTACTGTGTTTGGCGTATACTTGTGGGCAGAATGAACAAAATAGACCATATAACAAATATCTGACAATGAGAAAAACAATTAAGAAAAGATATTCATAATGAAATTCTGCAGTCTGTAATTCCATTGTGTGAACAAGAATTATTTACATACTATAAGCACAGAGAGGCAGGTAAGAAACATAATTGGAATTGTTAAAGGATATTACTTGACTTATATCAGTGAATAATGAGAAAAGTGTTACAATACATTTTATTTTTCCATTTGCTTGACATATGTGCTAATGGACGGGGAAGGAATTCATATTACTTCATTAAATGACAGCTGTTCCCTGTTCCAATATGCCACACAAGCATTTAAACTCTACAGGGAGAACAGTGCCACCTTCTGAACCACACGGGATGAAGCACACGTATTGGGTGGTTTTGTTAAAAAAAAAAAAAAAAAAAAAAAGAAAGGAATGTAATTTCTTTTCTCATGATTTACGAATATTTGTCTATAAAAGGAAGCTTTTGCCATGTTGAGAAATATTACTATTAAAATTACTTCATATAGGAGAAAAGCTTTTTTTTCCTAGAACATGGATACATTAAAAAAAGTCAAAACACCAAAAAAAAACCCCACAAAAAACAAACCACAAAAAAACCTGCCAGGTAAAACAGAGCAAAAAAAAGATCAACGTTTTGTTTTTCCAGCAGCAGAAGATTATTTCATTATATATTTATGTTAATTTTCCCCTTTTATTCCTGGGGAAAAGTACATTAATATATTCAGCTATTTTTTTTTAACACTCCCACACCCTCAAAATGTTTTCCATAGATTTTCATTTTTAAGCCTATTTTTTGGTCTTCTTTGTATACAGAAGCTAAGAGGCCTCCAAAAGAAATTTTGGAAAATTTGGCTACTGCCTAAACATGCTACTTTATATTTTTAACTTTGTCACTAATACATAATATATGCATCACAGGTATGTGAACTAGAATGACTCTGAAACAATTGGCATTTTGTCCTCTAATATCATATCAAACTCCCTTTATCACAGGTATAAACAGCTTTCAGTTATGTGCAATTCAGTATCTTCTCTGAACAAGGATTCATGTAGTATTAGCTAACTTCTAATAGCTACTAAGCTGTAATTTAGAAATGAATCAATTGTAAATTTCTGGTGCTTGGTAATAGTTCTCTGCAGATTTCTTCCATAGCATTTAGCCTATTACACAGACAAAAATAGTTCATAAAAAGGACATTTTAAGAAATTATTTGCCATTCGTTTCAATACAATAGATTAAAAGACATTCAAGTTCTAAGATATTTCCTTTGGTTTTATTTAATGTCTCGAAAGTCAGCCCTCTTGGGGGGATTAAACTTGATTTGTTCAGATAAAAAATTATTCTAGTATTCCATATATTTTAAGGGCTTAATTCACCACTTGAACAGCTTTCTCATAGTACAAATGACCTTCTTCAGCTCACAGCTTATTATGATAGATATTAAGAGAGGATAAAAAACAGAGGAAACAACTATTTGCAAATTCTCATGTTAGATATTTATTATAAATGAACATTTTTATTTAATCATTTGGATTCCATTACCCAAGGAAATAGTTTTGGCTTCAAAAATATTCAAATAAAATCCAACTTGTTACAGAAATTAATAACATAATTCATAAATATTTATAGTTTAATTCCAAGAGACATTATAAATTTAAATGGAGTCAGCACAATTTTAAAAATAGTTTTATAACTAATTTACCTTTCACATATACGTAGAAATGCCCTTCATCTAGTGCAATATAAAGCTCATATTATGAAATTTTTTTTCTTATGACTCATATTTTTACTGATTAAAAAAGTCAAGCCTTATTTTGTCAGGTTACAGATTATCTATCACTGTAAGATCAGCCCAAAGTTACCAGTGTTTAGCAAAAGCCTTTGACAGACAGCTAGAATTCTGCAAATATGCACAATTCTTCCATTTTGACCCCACCTTTTTTTTTTTATGCACAAAAAAAGTTTAGTCTGTTTGAGGAATGCTGTAATTTCACTTACTGTTCTCTAAATGCCAGGGGAACAAGTTTTCATTATTCTCACCAAAAATAAATGCAAGCCTTGATATAAAATTTCAAGGCCCTCATGTTTTGTTTTTTTGGGAGAGAAGGGCCATACAGATCTAGCAGATCTAGCAGTCCATCTAGCCAGATCTAGCAAGGGGCCATACATCCAATTTTGTCTCCTCTCTGTGCATTCAGCCCCTCTTTACCTGGTCACCCACAGGCAGGATGGGCCCAGCTGTCGGGCTGGTGCTCCCAGGGCTGCCTCCTGCTCGGTGGCTGTGGGCTGGAATGGGGTCTGCTGGGGGCAGCAGAAACATCTGCAACAGGAAAAACTCCTTCAAGGTGCAAAGAAACCTCTTTACCAAGAGGAACATGTTGGCTCCAGATGTTGCCGACTCCCCAGTCTGCAAGATGCTCAGGGCTGCACCTAGCCTGGAGAAACCTGGCAAAATGGGACCTGCTCTGAGGAGAGGGCTGGGATAAATGCTGAGGGAGGTGCCTTTCAACTAAAGGCTGATTTGGTGTGAGAAATGGCCAAATGACAGTAGTCAGAAGAATGAGGTGAATGGTTCCTTCCCACACTGGAAAGCAAACATCTGGATGAACAGGTTAGTTGTTCTGGTATCAGTGTCAGTACCCATTCCAGCAGTTACCCTTCGCTCATAAAAAATACAAGCATTTATCAACCCTGGAAGAACTAAAATATACATGAACACAGTAAAATTTCATGAAGCTATCTTTATTTCTTTATGTTAAGGTGTGATTAATGGAAAATTATTAGGGCTTTAATTTTCCACAATATGAAATGAACTTCCTGTGATAGATTGGAAATTGCATTTGCAAACCCTATGTACTATGTCTGTTGTTTGCTTTTGTTTTAATTGCAACACCAAATTTTCTGTTTAGTACATTGAAAACTACTCCTGCTCAGCTTTATCTATTCCCCAGCACTTTTATTCTCTATATATTTAAGCTTCAAACCAGTAAAATTTATGTTGCAGCTGACACAGCTGTCTCTAAGACCAGTGGATAGTTAAACTCCAGAACTCCTGCAGCTGTCCTTGTGTTGATGTTACAGCACAGGACACAAAGCCACTCCTCACCCACTCACTTGCAGACTTACATACTGAGCATACTCAGTTGTAGCCATGGTAGATTTGAAATATGACAGTATAAAAACATGGTGCTTTAGTGCCAAAAGGAGCAGATACCATTCTTTTTTCCCAACCTCATACATTATGAGAGAACAAGCTGTACAGGGAGAAGTTCACCACGCTTCTTAAAGGTCTACAATGCATTTTTACCTCTAAATGGACAATATTTTATATGAGGAGGCCTTGTGCTTCAGAGAGAAGGTAATTCTGTTTTTAGCCTAAGCCTGAAAGATATTGAAGTGAGGCTCCAACAGTATGGAAGCATTTTGTATTTTCAAGTATTTGGAAAATGGCTCTATGTCTCTTAAAACACATCCTCTATAAAAAGCAGAATAGTATGTCCTCTGTGACTTCTTAAGAATAGGAAAATGAAGCCAAGTTTTTATTTGAAATCCTCTTTTAAATTCACCTAAAAAGTCTCAGCCATTCTACCAGTAGTAAAAGATAGACTTAAAGAAGTACTTCAGCTCCAGTAAGCCCCACAGCAAAGAGCATTCCTCATATAGCAAAATGAACTATAATGAGTCTAGACTAACCCACATCTCAGTGTAAATGGCCTAAGATAACACCTCACTCCTTTCTCTGTATGACCAGGTTTAGATCCTAAGACAGGAGTATCACTGAATAAATGAAAATCATGGAATCCAGGCTAAAGTATAAGAAAGAAACCTGTTATATGGCAGAAAAGAAATCTTACTGTAAGAGAAAAGTAAGATTGTTGTAGGTTATTCATTCTGATCTTTACTGCATATTTGTCTGATTTACTTGCCAATATAATCCTGCAACAAATAAACGCTGCTAATAAAATTCTAACTGTCATTTAAAAAAATATTTGAACTAGCACAGTAAGCTTATACCACAATCTGATTCTGGCACTTCTCACAAGGAAATTTCTCAGCAGCCATTTCAGCAATTACAGGTCACCACTTCCACCAGAGAAATCCTTCTCACTCCTTACCTGTATGCTCCCTGCTCTCGAGGCTCAGATGTGTCCAAAATCTGTTCATGTGTCAAAGTAGTGAACTGGATGCAGGATCTGATCTGACAGAAAATTATTCCTTTGCCTCCTCTCCTTCTTTCCATTTTTATCTGTGCGGCTCTCTTGCTGCACACTGTATAAGCACACCCAGTCATTTGTGCTGGTGTAAGGATGGGAGGAATGAGAACAGGAGCATGTTTTTGGTGGTGGCAAGGAATGCTTTTCCCAGTATCTGTGCCAGCTTACATGTGCTGAAGATGTTTATTGAACAACCTAGCTGACTCTTCAGTAAATCTGATGTAAAATTTAATTAGTGCTTTGACTCTATTCTTATATGCATTTTCAGAAATATTTTGGTAAAAACACTTATGAATTCTATAAGTCACCAAATTGGCTAAACATTATTGATATATTGAAACTGCATATATAGCATGTGTTTTAATACACAATGAAAATATATGATGCATAGTTTGCATCAGAGAAAATATATGATGGAAAATTTGCCCCATTTTGCAATAACAACCAATTTTTTGGAATTCTAGGGATTTTACTGTCTTTTTTGGAAAAAAATATTTCTTTTCTGTCTGACATTACCTGCTGAACCCCCTCAAAGTATAACTGTTCCAGATATAAATCTCTTATTCCTCTTTTTAAGCCTTCAACCTTCTCACTTTCTGCTCTGTCAGCATCATTATTTCAGAGAGTTATTATTTTAGAGTCTTGAAGAGTTATTCAAGTTTCAGAAGTGCTTTTCTATGTAATATGTCTTAAATCAGATGAAATAATAGTTTCTCCCACAAATGAAAAAAAATGAAAATTTTAACAATGAAAATTAACATATGAATTCTACACAAGGATAATTAACAATGAAAAACAAATGAAAATTTAAAAAAAAGACAAAATACTGTACTGTGGAAGCTTGCATCTAACATTGCCAGTCCCTAAAGCTTTTTAAAGCTGCTGAATTGTCTTACAAATCCATTTGGGTCCCACATGGGGTTATATCTTTGTTTATTTTTTTTTAAACTTACCTTTTATTGTTTGTACTCCAAAGTTTTTCCCTGAATTAATGAGGACAAGATCCTTACTTGTTATACCATGAAACCTGAGGCTCCAAGATAGCACAGATGCTAAGTGATAGAGAGTTAAAAAAATCCAAAATCTGCTAGGTAATGTTAATGTCTAGGGAAATCACAAAACTGCCATTTTATTAACATAGAGCTGTTATTATAGCCAGGAAAAAAAAAAATTAAAAAAAATAAAATTCCTGGTAACCAACAAAATGAATACAGAATTTCAGATACCATCTGTCTATGGCTCAATAGTTCTCCTTTCTTGGAAGATCTATTTACAGTGCTACAAATGGTATCTATTTACTGTAGTAACAGTTATGCACTTGAATTTCAAAGTTCACATTAATTTAAGAAACTCTTTAAAGTTTGATGAAATCTGGGAAAGCATCGCCCTGGAATGGGGGAAAAAAATGGATGCATTCCTTAGATGAGAATACTGATTATCTTTTAGCCTAGCCTATCATGGAGAGAAATAAGGTTCAAGAGGTGTTTGGACGATGTTTTCAGGCTCATGATGTGATTCTTCAGGCTCTTCTGTGCAGGGCCAGCAGCTGGACTTAATGTTCCTTGTACGTCCCTTCCACATAAGCTTATCCTAACAATTTGTGATTCTACCAAGGCCATGTGTTAGAGACTAAGTTTCTAGAAGGTATGCAAGAAACAAGGTAAGTTATTAGCATTATAGGAGAAGGATTCTTTCTTTAAACTGAGCTGCTTTAAATTTTCCAGAGCTCATATGCAGAGTGAAGGTGTCAAGTTGAACGCAGGCAAGTGGGGAGAAGCAGTATGTTGTAATATTTCTCTCTGTTTCTCACTATCTGAAATATTCTAATGGGCAATAAATTAAATTAATTTTCCTCAAGTCAGTTATTGGTAACTGATGTCCCTGTCTTTATCTTGTTACAATCTTTCTTATCCTATTTTTCTCCTCATCCTGCTGAGTAGGAGGAGGGAATGAACAGCCAAGTGGGAGTCTGGCCTTTAGCCAAAGTTAACTCACCATGTGAAAACCAGTTGAACACAGTTTGCAACTTTTCTAACAGTTCTGCTTGTGGACACCATTTGACTCATCACAGCTCCTTACAAAACCTTTGAAAAAATGCATCAGAACATTAGAAATAAGTCTCCAGGTTGCTGCACAACTACATTAAAATTTTCCCTTGAGTATTTCTTGACACACTAAATATGTTGATTAATAAACTCTAGTTAGAACTAAAAATAAAGATTCAAATATTGTTATCCTGAAATTTGAATCAGTGTGCATTTCCACAGAGAATTTCTTTTGTAGACATGTACAATGGAAAGCTTGGATTTATGCATGTGTATATTATGGTGATAATTTGCTCATGGTATTATTGCACATAATTTTTGATGTAGTTGTCCTCCATGCACAAATAAATGTTTTAATTTACAGAAGTATGTTCAGTGCTGTGCAGAAACTGCTTGAAGAGGAAGCTGAGTCAAAGAAAATTGTATTCCGTTTTGGTTTCTCAGCACAGACAATTCTTGAGAAAGAATTTTTCTGTAGGCATGGAATGCTAAAGCTCATCTGAGCTATTAGAGGAAAATGTTTATTTATTGCTTGATCAGATAGTTTGGAACTGTAGTTGGTGCATGCAAACAAATTTGCATGAGATTATATTTGAAATTAATTATTAAAATCTGGGTACTTAGTTTTTAAACAGCATTTATTCGCTGCAGTTATGTATGACCAATATGGGAAGAATTGATTTGCTTTTCAGAACTAAAAGAGAAGAAGAAAAATTATCTTTATATTTCTAGTGAAAATGCATTTGTCTAGAAATCAAAGTAGGCAGATTTCTCTTTTTTTCTGTACTAGGCATAAGAAAGCATGTGGCAAAACTTAGGATTGGGCATACCTGTTGTATGACGCTGGCCAAATCACTTCATGTCACTCTGTGCTCTGCTACATGGTGGGATAAAAAAATGTTTTGACCTTTATTTCTAAAAGAAAATGTGTGAATTAATAGCTGTTATTAAAAAGTTTTGTGTGAAAACTGAGCTGAAGATAGACTACAAATCTGTCAGCAGATAGTGAAAAATCTACCTTGTTCCTTAACAGAATTCCTGTTTATTTGCATAATTTAAATAAGGCAAGGAACATTCCGACAAAAGCAATCAAGGAAACCTTTTCTCCAGCATGTTGGATGTATGCTGCATGATCAATCCTCCTCCAAGCCTCATAGTCAGCAATGAGACATTGAATTGTCTGAATTGTCTAGCAGTGAACCCATTGTTACAGTGCAGCGGCAGACTGTGGGCTCTCGGGACAGCCACATTCCCCTGTCCCCTTTACAGGTACAGCTTCACACTGAGCACAGATAGGGGAGGAATTAGTAGGCACAGATGGGATATGAGCTGTTGATCACATTTTTACACACACAACTACACCCAAAATCTAATCACAAGCTCTCACACATGTGAAGAAACTGCTGCATGAGAATCTGGTAAGTGTTACAGCTGGCCAGCAGCAGCTTCAAGTAATAAAAGTCATTAGGATGGGAAAGGTTTCATCAAAGTTCAAAACAGTTCTTTGATTTCTCCTAAAATATTTATTCCAATGCTTATTTAACTAATTTAACTAACTATCCTGATTTAACTAGTACTATTGGTTCATAGGCCCTATGAAAATGAGAGACTGAATACATAATTCTATATGAACTGCATTAGTAGACAAGCATTTTTCTTTGTGGCCCAACTGCAGCAGTTTAATTGTAATATCTAAAACATTGGTGCATTCTTGTCTGTAAAAGCAGATATAGCAGCTACAGCCAAATTGGGTGTTCCCTGATGTGAGGTGTGACTGTAGGTCTGGTAACTCAGCAGGAAACAGCTTGAGGAAATAGGAGTAATTTAAAAAGTAATTTATTTCTTTTTCCTGCACGGTGGATCTCTGAAAGAAATAATTTAATCTGCACCAGTTAATCCTGTTTATTGATTTACAAGAAAATTATACTTTATTTCCTGCAAGTTTGGTTCAGTTACATACTAGAAGTAGTCTAGCGTGAGAAACGCCACTTCTTTGGTGATGACTTTTGAAGAAACTACTATTATAGAAAATCTATTATGTTAAGTAGAAACATTTCCAGTCTGAGTCACTTTTCTTGATAGCAGAGACATATTATTATCCAATAAAATTACATTTAATATTCAGCAACACCCTAAAAGCAATGCACAGGAAAGTCATTATGTTCCATGCTTTTAAAAGCTCATTGAAATAAGACATTAATGTTTTCAACCTCTAAAATTAACTTTTGCAATCAAGTCAAGCTAATCCATTTGTGGTCATTAGTTTCACTTATCGCCATTAAAATTTGGGGAATGCTGAATGTATTTAATATATGGGCTGTGTAGTGAAGCTATTAGTTCTACTTTTTTAGTAGTACCAATAAAGAAAAAGGAAGTCTGTGCTCTGGGACAGTGTCCAAAAATGGCTTTTAGATAAATCTCTACTTAAGGTAATGTACAAGGAATGGAAAGAAAATCTATTGTCTGAATTGCTGCTTTAAAACTACTGCTACTGAGAGTGGGGCCTTTGCTAACAACGCAGCTTCTCAATGTAAGATCTTCAGAAAGAGATCAGGTCTGTATTTTTATGACAAAGAATAATGCAAAGTTATATTTTGTGTCTCCAACTGATTTCCTCTCTCATTTTTCCAAAATGTTATATTCAAGAATGCCTTGCAAATCCATAAGAAGTTCCACTGCAAGGAAATCTTCAACTACATTTGCAATTCCTCAAATTCTGTATTTTTCTCACACTACTTTCTATTTTTATTTGTCCACAGAAGTCCTTCCTTCTGATATAAACGAACATAAAGCATTTACTGTGGAAGCATTAAGTTGATTTGATCAGATAAGGGTCTGATCCTTGAACATGGGTGACTGCAGATTTGACAAGCACAGGCAGAACTCTGAGCACAGCAGATTTCTGTTGTGGGGCCTGGAGCTTGGGCAGGTTTTCATGCCCAGCAAAACAGAACTGTGGCTTCTCTGTGGTGTTTCTAACGAAAAACAACAAAAAGCTAGTGGTCAGAAGGTGCCTAAAATGACATCTAAATGTTTAGCTGTTTAAACACTCAGGCTGCC